AAAGACTATAACAATCTCTAACAGACACAGATAGATCTGTGAATTCCGGCGTGAAAAAGTCCTAATCTAGCATCTCCAAAGACAGAGATTTGATACGCGCTCAAGTCTGCTTTTTCTTCTCAACTCAAGCCAGATCTTCAATGTCTCGCACGTGACCTACAGCATCATGAAGCTGGCAATCATGTTTGGTGGGGCAAGTGTTGCAGGAATGCCCACAAGGCATCTCTGGCTGTGCCTCCAGCCTTTCTTTCACCTTGGGCGCAAGGTGCTCCCATGCTTGCTCAAGAGCTTCTGCAGATTTCGGGGCAGCTTCAAAGCTTGACAGCTCCTTGGCTTTTGAATCCCAATCACCAGACCCCAGCTTCGACACAAGTTCAACTAAGTGAATCTGCCAGTCTTCCAGGCCGTCAGAGAAAACACCATGACAAGGCTCCATCTCATTCATTTCAGCACCCCCTCTAACAAGAAGATCCCGAAACTCCGCTTCATCCAGCTCCAGCCAGCTCTCGACAAGGACCCCATTTAAATAGAGCTGCGGAAGCGCAACAGCGAGACTTGAAAGAGTCTGCAAGCCTCCAGGCAAATCAGGTCCTGACTCATTTACATTCACAGCTTTCACCGCCTTGACGCCAGCTGATTTCAGTTTCATCACTCCGAGAGCCGATCTTTCATCTTCCGGTTCTTTGATACTGCCGCGCATGAACAAAATGGCATTGAGGCCTTGTTGGTCGCCCAAGGAAGCAGCTACAAAAGCTGCCCAGGTTGATTCTATTGAACTCACATCAGAGGAGTCGGCGTTTTCATTGTTGAGCAAGCCGTCCACAAATTGGATAGCTGCTGCGTTGCCATCCTGCTGAGCCAAGGTGCGGGCCAAATCTAGCTTCTTCCGTGCTGAAGGATCTTTCAATTGCATAAGCGCCCACCCATGTCCGAGAGCAACAGCTGCTCGCTTCGAAATGTCAGAACCGGCAGCTGCCTCTGCTGCTTGGTAATGCACTAAAGATTCTCTTGTGCCACCAGGACCTGCCATAGTCCAAAGGGCTTCGGCCATAAGCAAGTGTCCATCTAAATCCAGGGTGTTGATGGCTTCAAGACACTCAATTGCAGCAGCTGGCTTGCCTTCACTCAAGAGTTGGGCAGCTTGGACAACTTCAAGACATTGCCCATCACTCATTTTTGCTGCATTGGGAAGTTCGGGTGTTCAATCAAGACCTCGCTTCTAGATGGAAGAGTATGATCAATTCAAAATCAAGACAGGACTAAACAAATCTGCTGTGCCAGAAAACGAGAGTTGATTGTAAGATTTGGCTGCTGCCTCGAACGGAAAGTCCACTGTGGCTTACTCACCGAGATAAGATTCCATGCAAACCTTATGTTCAGTATTAGCTTGTATCTCAATGTTTTTGCCTCTTTGTGAGGGCATAGAATGGCTTAGATCTGGAGAGTCGTTGCACTTCAAAGGCAGGTGCTGAAGGTCTTCGGCCAAAGATGAACCACACTCTCTAAGTCTCTGTTTGGAGCTACCAGCTTACAGACCAAGATCTTCAGTTCTCAATAAGCAAAACAACTGCCAGTCTTGATTATTTTGGCCCGGCACAATGCATTTAGACCGTAGTACCAGATCCTACCATTTCACAACAGAACTACTGTGGGTGATTTGGTCCTTTGCAGGCTCTTATGAGTCTGTTGGCTGGTCTCAAACAGGCCTATCTAATTGTGCTTGTGCAGATTCAGAGCTTGAAGAATGCGCAGTGAAATTGAAAGTCCCTGCAAGTACAAGTGCATTAACCATGGTCATACATTGTAAGATGATTCTAAGTCTATAAATGGTGACCACGTCATCCTGCGAGGCGAGGTCAACAAACCCACATCTCATTGTGAAACTATCAAGACACAACTTTGCTCTCTTTGTGCAGAACTTGTTCATTCAGGGAGTACCTGGACCTGCTGTCATCAAAAACTTTATATAGACTACACTGGTTTGACATCAGCAGTGTTCGCAAGTCACAACGGCATATGTCAGCCAGTTCAAGTCCACAACCTGTCCTGCCAAAGTCCAGTTCCCTCCATTCCGGAGCACTTGCTCGCCAACTTGCATCCTCACTCACTTTCAAATACCGTATTCCCAACACTTCAGAATCTGCTTTCGGATTGATTCCATTGATCCTGTCCTTTGATTCTTCATCATAGGTCTGCCATGCCTGCTCAACACGCAAAATACCATTGACCTTAATCCTGCCTTATCTCTCTTCGCCTCCTTGGGTCCAGCTGAAGGCGTCTCAACAAACCTTTCGAGAAAGACCAGCAAAAGGCATAGAGGCATGGAGGAATACGTATCTTGGCAGAATACCCAACAAATCTTGGCAGAATGCATGGAAACAGGAAAACAGGACTCAACATGAAACGGAGCGCGCCATTGTGCTGGTCGAACTGTTGGAATCTCATCTTCATCTGTACGTGCCGCTTCTGAAATTTGAACCTGCAACATCACACAGGCCAACATTTGGCTCAGCCATGGAAAAACAATCATAGAAAAATGCAGAAGGGCATGACGGTACGGCTCTTACTTATCTGAGCTGTCCTCAGTCTGATCTTCACTTCCATCAACATCGAAAGTCGATTCAGCCTGAAATGATCAAATGTATCAAATGCCTGAGTATCTTTTACCACTTGTCGATTCCAGGTAAAACAAAAATGACAGCAAAGCCAGCCGGCTCCACATCTGAGAAGCCACCAAAAAAGGTCGGGTCCACCCGGTCCGCCCTCCTAGGCGAAGCAAAACAAAGTGGCAACATCTGCATGCCGCATGATAATGATGAGGCCTCCGCGTTGACGAATGAACGGCATCTATTTGTAGCAGCGGGAACTGCAACGAAATTGGTGCATTACAACATGAATGTCTATTGCATCTGTAGTTTAGATGAATATAAGGTCTACCGCCGGCCTCTCGCCTTGAATCTTCCTGTTTTTGCCCTACGGGACCGACGTTCTCTGCCACAGAGGATGGAACACAAGCACACACGCCTCGCAAAGCCTTTGCTGATTGCTCGTCCTTCGATGACTCTCGCAATGTCCTGAAACTAGTTCCACTTTGTTTGACTCTGTTTGCACTTGATAACAAGCAACACTCCAACGAAACCTGACCAAGGCCATGGCTGACCGTGTTGAAGCAGGCATGGTGCAATAGCCTCGACAGACAACACTATATACATTCCTCCGACGGAACCTTCATTGGGTGGGTTCAACGCAACCTGGCCTCGTGCAGCCGCTCTGGTCGGGCCTGCACACAATTCTGAATTCAAACTTTGTGGTTGTTCCGCTAGCCGCAGCCACTCCCACCTCTGGACCATGCCCGAATGAGAACGGCAAGCCAACAAACCAAAACACCTTGGCAATCAAGTTGCACTACAAACAACTCATCAATTTTTTTGTCCACTGAGAATGACACCCTTATCATCCTAGTTTGTGATCTTGTGTTTCAACACGGGGTGTTCCTGCAAGCAATTTGGCCAATCACACAGGCGACATTCAAAAGCAAAACATTGTTTTCAAAAGGGTAAAGCTGCGCAAAGCTGGGTAAAGGTTCCGACAAGAATATGTAGTAGTACCGCGGACGCGTTCTGCAGCAGGACAAATATGCTGACAATGCGAACATCAAGATATTTGCAATCATGCACCTTCCAAAGTGTCGTTCTCGGAAATGGACATGGGATTCCCTATGTTCCTAAGATCGAACTTGTCCAAAGCCAAAACAGCCGCCAAAAAGTAGCTATATGCCATTCACCCATGAGGGAACCACCTTGTTTTTGTTCACGGCCGTGTTAGGGACCCCATGGCCAAACGCAAATTTCACCGTTTTTCCCATCTGCTACATCGACATCACAACATCATCGATATCGCAACATTGTCATCAATTTCACACCAGTGGCATCGACATCACAACATCATCGGTTTCACAACATTGTCATCGATTTCATCGATTTTCATCCATTAGTCGTGTGATTAAAAATGGGGTGGGGGGTGGTGTGGGGGTAAGTGAATCGAATTTCACAACATTGTCATCGACATCTCATCGATTTCACAATGTTGTCTTCAACATCACAACATTGTCATCGATCAGTCGTGTGGTTAAAGGTGGGGTTAGGGGTGGGGTAAGGCGATTTCACAACCTTGTCATCGGCATCACAACATCATCATAGATTTTGCAATGTTGGGGTGAAAAATTGTCATGCCAGTCTGTGTTCAGAATGAATGCAAAACCTTTGCTGTTGTGGAAGCTGGGAAGCCCCAGCAAAGATGGAGCATCGACGAAGAAATCATTTTTAGACAGCACTAAGAGCCGTTGTTGTCTTTTCTAATTTCTAAGTGGTTTTTTTTCACACTTGCAACCAGAAGAAGGCGGCCACGAGGCCCAATGGTGTCTCACCACGGCGCAAACAGTCACCACAATCGTCACAATTGTGAACTATTCAGGACACTGCATGATTTCCGAAACACTTCGCGGAGCGGGGTTGGACAAAGGAAGATGGTCCACATTCAAAACAGAACAAAAGCGCGTTCCTTTTTTTTCCACGCAGCCGCTTGAAAAAAATGAAACAAGGTGCACTCACGCTCTTCCAAGCACTGACAAACAGCACAAGGGCGCCAACACCGGGGCTTGCTTGGTGGCTCACAACAAAACTACAGGCACAGATTTCGCCAGCATGAACGCCCCCAAAACAGGTCGCCCAGACAAATCACACCCTCACAAGCACACTTTCCACAAACAACATTCCAACCAGTCTCATCAGACCAACTCTGTCGACAGCGCTGCACCACTGCAAGCATCATCCAAACACGCCACACCCTCACAGGCGCATTTCCATTGCAAACATCTCAAACGTCAAACATGATCATTGACAGATGACCAACAAGCTGGTGGTAGATGACATGTACGCTGCACCACCATACGCATGCACAAACACAAACATCCGCACGCGCGCGCAAACTGATACACCGTCAGCACTCGCTTCTTTTCTGCCCGCGTTTCTTCTTGTTCCCGGAGGGGTTGTCTGTTCTTGTTGGTGAAGTTGTTAACGTGTGGGATTGTCCGGCTCTGTGATTCTCAAAAGCCTTCTGCGTCTCCTTCCACCAATCACAAAAGGAAGCTTGAGCCACCTGGTTCTCCTTGCTTTAGCAAAAATGTATTAACACATTTCCAAAGACTCTATGCTCTGTGGCAAAACCACAGGACCAAGGCGTTCACCGCCAGCACTCACTGCCCCACTACAGAGGCATCCAAGGCTGCCACCAAAGTTTCCTCGATGTCACCTTTGACTCACTGGCTCCACATTCTTCCACTCTGAAGACGGCGGCACTCTGCGCTTGGTTAAAATGGAATGAACTGTCCGGCGGGGTGATGCGTAGCAACAGCTCCGTGTGATTTGTGACGAACAGGAATGGAGTGCCACTGCATGAGAAGACAAAAACGGAGGGCACTGTTGTCTACAAGGCCAGTGTTGCTTCCGGAGAACTGCATCCTCCGATTGGCTTCCACATGTCGTGCGACCGGAAGGTGGAAGGTGCGGCATGCAAGGACAGCAATTGGGAGGGCCCAGCCCTGCTGTTCCAAACCCTTGAGTGAGTCATCTTGTGCTACTTGACAAGTGAGTCTTGGGCCAGGAAACAAACAAAAAACCAGGCAAACAAACAAAAACCACACCAAAAACCACAACCAAAAACCAAAGAAACCTGGCCAGGAACAAGACTCAAGTGGGTCATGCAGAAGCGAACCCTGGTGCAGAACTGCCAGACTTCCCTTTGGAGGCCCATGTCTTTTCGTCCTTGGGTTAATCCATGAGACGGTCGTCTCCCACGTGCCAGCAAGGAGGGACCCAGGATGAGGGAGAGCACACGGCTTCCTCGCTCGATCCTCCTCATCAGCAGGGCCGGATCGGAAATGGGCTCTGAGCAAGTTACGAGTTCGGTGTTTTCGAAAGTTTTGTTCCAATTCGTTCTTGTGATCATGACTGCCAGACCTGTGAGGAGCCACTTGGAGTTTTTTTTGCACGGGTGGAGGCGCTATGTGTGCCGAGAGGCACAAGTCACCTTGATTGAACTAAATAGGGACACTAAGGAGATACGAGCCAAGCAACAGAACAAGGCACCACAGAACAAACACAACCAAAAACAACCAACACAAAACAAAACGCAGAAACAAAGAGCCGGGCTCGTATCATACCGGGGCTAGCTAAGCCGAAGCAAAAGTTGTAAAAGAGAGGTGAGACGGGGCCATGAATTCGTTCTTCTGCTAGCGCTCAGTACTGGAAGGTCAAGAAGTAGCGAGATTCCTTTTTATGGGCAGTGAGTGCTTGTGTGACAAGGTGGATGCTTGCACATATGCGTCAGGAACGTCCAAGCTTGTGCTGGAGTTTTGGAACACTGCGAGCCATTACAATGCGGCACGGCAATGTGTGACTTAGTTCAAAGAACACGACATTGCATACGGCAGTTACTGTTTGTTCCAGGTTGGCTTTTTCAAACTGGCACACTCCGGCATCAGCATGTATCTGCATTGTTGCTCCCAAATTTCGGATACGAGCAGCATGACAAGTAAAGACAGGGGATTCTCCTTTCTGTCTCCGACTCACTGTGGTCAAAATCCCAAGGAATCGTTGTGGAGAGCACTATTTGCTTGAGCACAGTCCTCAATACACTGAGAGCTTGCCGTTGAGAAGAGGGTACACCGGGCAACCAAGCGCCAAACTTACGAAAGCCATGACCTGCAGAGTGCATAGGACCAATGAACTCAAACAAGCGGTCCCTCATCCTTGGCCTCCCCCCACAAAGGGGGAAGGCGGTGACAAGAGTACGTCCCTTGACTGTGGCTCCAAAATGGCAAACGGGAGCAACAATAACGAAGCAGCGTGACAATGCGTCGCACTCGGAAATGTGTGCAGGTAGGACTCAGTTGGCACACCTCGACAGACTCAGCATCTCCATATTACGATTCGAGTGCCCTTGAAGCGATGAAGACATGCATGCCCCGTGAACTACGTGAAACAGTGAAACGCCGCTAAACAGGGTCCTAGGAACTGTACATCTGTGCTCTGTGTATCCATCCAAGACCACTGCTTGGGAGGCAGCCCTGGGTACTGGCTAGCTACTCAGAATTGGTAGCAGTGTCAGCAGTGTCAGTTCGGCAGGTGTGTGGCTTCTCGGAACCAGTATGTGGACACTGGTCAGAGTAGTCAGGAGGAGCCGGATCCATTTTGCAGCGAGCTTGCATGACTCGAATGCGTCGTGCTCTGCGTGCGTCCCTCTCCAAGTAGCTTTGCTTCCTGCTCTAATGAGCGTACGCAGCTGTATGCAGCCAGCAAATGCTCGTTTGTCAACGAAGAAAAAAGTGGGTGGGGTGTGTTTCAGGAGGGTGTCTCGCCCGATGCGCCTCACTGCTTTGGCCACCCGAAGCTGTTGCAGCTGCGAGCAATGGGCAAAAGTGCCTCCCAGAATCTCGCTGATTTTGGTTTGCGAGATGTCAACTGATCGCAACCTCTTACAATGCTCACATGCCGCTGGTCCCATCAAGTTGAAATCTGCTGGTAAGAATAACGACTCTGTTCCAGCAAAAAAGCAACCCTCGGTATGGAACGATTCAAATTGATAGGATCGTACTCTGTTCTCTCGAAATTGAGCTGCTGCAAGGTGCTGCATTTCTCGAAGGCTCGCGGTCGAAATTGCGCCTGTGGCGCCAGCTGATTTACTGTCGCGCTTTGGTCCCCAATCTGTGCTAATGAGTAGCATTCTTCAAACACCCATAGCCCAAAGTGTTTGCACCCTGGGGCTATGACGGTGTGGAGTACACAGTTTCGACAGAAGGCCCCGTCTTGCAGACAGACTACTGTGCTTGGTAGTTGGACGATTTGCAGCCTGTTGCAGTGCTGCCAGGCAGCTTCGCCGATGGTATGGATTCCTGCCTCTACTTCATGCCTCACATCGTTGGTGTGCGTGAAGGCATGGGATAACACACGACCTGCACGAATGGGCGGTACTCGAATGGCTTTGGCGCGCATCTTCAGTTGCCCTTTGTGTTCGGCTTGGCTGAAGGATTGTCGGACCACGAGGTTGAAGCGGTTACAGTTTGTGAGAGTGTCCCAGATGGGGTTCGCCAGGATTTCTCCGGTGTCTTTGTGTGCAAAGACAAGCTTGCTCCCAAAAGTGCTGTGTCCCCCAATGGTCGGGAGTTGCTCAAGGACAGCAGTTTCAAACTCGTCTAACCGATCAAACTCTTGCAGATCGATGACGACTTGTACTTCGTCTCCGGAAAGGGTGGTCAACAGCAGTTGCAACACTAACTGGCGTTAATTGCTGACAAGTGTGTGAAAACACGGAAGCGAGTGCGACCCTTTTGCGAATCCCGCTCTTGAGCCAAACATAACAGTCGGTTTGACTGTATGTCTGTTCGTCCACTCTTCTCTG